GCCTGTCGTTAAGGAGTGGTTACTGTAACGTATTAGCCAGCGTGCCTCATGGCATCTATTTGGGGACGCTTGGTTGCGGATTAGTCTCGCCACAGGAAGAAGGGTTTTTCCGTAAAGGGAAGAACGCGGAGACGGGAGACACAAGGCTTTGGGTGTCTTCCGGCTTATAGAAGCATTTCACTGTTATAACAAGCGAGGGGGTGGCGTGACGTAGGAGGTCACGTGGGCCTCGCCTATATAACAGAGTGTACGGAGCCAGTAGGCAGGTTCTGGAGACGGTGGGAGAACCTCGTGCGTGTGCACAAAACTTGGCGCCAAGACGGTGCATATGCGAGCCAGGCTCGCGAGGCTGGAGTCATTAGTTGACGAAGCCTGCGGACTTTATGTCCTTGGGTGACTGCGGTCACGGGGGAGCGATGCTGTGTGCGTGCTCCGAGGTGAAGAGTGGTTGAGTGCCACGATTCACGCCGATTCTCAATCGGATAAGATCGCTCCTGCAATCGAGGCAAACCAGCCGTTGGTGCGCCAGAACGGACTTTGTGTCCCAGCGTGACATCCGGTCACGGAAGCTAGGCTTTGTGCGCGCTTCAAAAGTAGGAGTGGCGAATGCCACAATCAAAACCATCTTCAATCGGGTTTTGGATCGCTCCAGCGATCAGGGGATAGTAGGTCTATCAGAGCTAGGGTTTAAGTAGATTATTGAGTGTATATATTTGTTTTGTTTTCTTGTTAATAAATATATTTGTTATACGAAAGCTCTGTGTCTGTGGTCGCTGTGAGTATCCATGACGTCACATTACAAACGTGAGTGAGCGGCTCTACTATGTTGTTGCAGTATGTTTAATGAGGGTGTCACGGATATTACCCAGTCCTGTAGAGAATATGTTTTTCATTTGATTTATGATTTTTTGTATTTCTGCAGGTGATGTTTCGCAGATATATACGGAATTTACATTGTTGATGTGTGGATATTTGACTGCATAATTGTATTATTTAAGGAGTTATCATGAATTATTTTTTCTCCAATTTCTGAGAAAAGTCTATTGAATGTGTTTGCTACTGCTTGTGGGTGGCGCAGAACATTATTTTTGTAATGAAATTCAATATCCTTTTCCCTATCACATGATGTTTTGATTCCTTTTGTTATCCACGATTTGTGGTTTTTGCTTTTAATTTTTTTCAGTGTTTATAGGAAAACGGTTTTGAAATACGTAACTTTGGAATATGCTTATGAATAAGTTAAATTTGATATTCGGGTCTGTCGCTTTGTGCACCTCCTCCCAGTTTTCTGAATTTGTTAAATAGTTAAATTTGTTTAAGTTTTCTTGAGAGAAGTTTTGGCTTTCTCTATACAGTGTTTCCTTAATAACTTTCGTGACCATTTTGAGTTTGAGTATTTGCGCTGTATGGTCACTAAACCCTGTGTTATACGTAACAACTAAATAGCTGCAAGTATTTGTGTATTTTATTATTTGATCAATGGCAGTACTGCTATTTTTAGATATTCTGGTAGGTTGATTTATAATAGTTTGTAAGTTGAAAGATTTAAGTAAATTTTTGAATAGTTTCTCTTCATTTGATTTGGACAGTTTATATTAAAATCATCACATAATATAATTTTATAGTTTCTGCGCCTTTTAAGTTTGACAAGAACAATTTCAAGATGTTTTAAAGAAACCTTTGTGTTTCCTGTAGGGCTGTGATATGTACATAAGATCCATACTCTTTGTTTCGGTAGATCTATAATACATATTTCAAAGTCTTTATCTTTTAAGAGGGAGGAGTAATCTGTGATTGATACATAATTAATATTATTTTTAACGAAGATTCAAGTACCACCATAAGCGTCATGTGATTTGCCAATTTCCCTACATGAGCTACTAGCTAGAGTGAAACCTGGAATGTGTGTGCTATCTAGTTGTTGTTGCATTAACCAATGTTCACTGAAGCATAATATTGTTAAGTGTAGGTTTTGTTCAAGTAGTATTTCTAAGTCTGTTATCTTGTTTCTTGAAGACTGAAAATGTTGATGCAGTTCATATAGATATTTGTTTTGGGGTGTTGTGGGCTTTCCTGTTGAGTGTAGTTGCTACAGGTCATAGGTGGGAGGTGGCCTGCGGTGTCAACGAAAGTTGTACGTTGGCTTAGGATTTGGACTAGGAGATGAAATTGGAGCAGGTGTGAGAGTGACAGGTGTGGCTGTTGGGGTAGGATCGTGGAATGGAGGTGGTGGTAGGGGGTAAGTGGAGATGGAGAAGGTAGTGTGGAGGTAGGTGGAAATGGAGGAATAGATGGGGATGAGGTGTGTGGCTGTAAGGATGAAAAGGAGTTCAACACTTCTTGTGTTAACCAGGTTCCAAGTTTCTGCTTACCTACCTGATTTAGACGGAGACCATGTTTTGTAAATAGGTTTCTTGAGAGATTGTCAAGATCTAGTAGTCTAATTGGTGTCTCTCTCAAGTGATGTTTTGAATGTTTGTTTGCCATTTTAATTTCATTGTTTGTGGTAACGTTGTTATGCCAGGGGGGCAGAGTAGTCATGATGACATTAGTGTGAGTGGTAGTCTTTAGAATTGTTTGTAGATGTTCTTCTGGGTTAAATTTACTGCCATGATTTATGTCGTTCTGCCCACCTATAATTACTACCGTGTCACGTTGTCCGAGGGGACTAGTAAGTGTGTTTAAGTTGTCAATTTCGTGTGCCATCCTGGCAGTCGGTTTGAAAACAACAGTAACAGAAAACTTTTAAGGGAGTTTCTCTCTCATGGTGGGGGAAAGGTTCGTACCACGGCAATCTGCTAATATAAGTACTACATCTTAGAGTATCAGTCATAGTATTTTAAAGCAGCTTCAGCTTTTGAAATTGCATTAAAATCCTCACAAATTAATTGGTCAGAGTTATGATGGATATTATCAGTGATATCGGGGAAGGCTCATGGTGTGCAGGCTATTTTGCAAAAACATTATCGTTTTGCACACTTCGTTCACTGCTACGCCCACCAGTTGAATTTAATAGTAGCAAAATATGCTTCCCAAAACAAAATGGCCAGAATTTCTTTCTAGTCTTGAAGGATTTGCTGCTTTCTTTTCACGTTCATCCAAACGAATGACTTTGTTAAACAATGTAGTGAAAAGACGTCTCCCCCACGGACCAAACACTCGTATAGTCTTTTCAGAGAAGGTCCGTCATCGTTGTTTATGCTCACAAAGATGATATAAATCATAGTTTTGCTAAGAATCTGACAACAATAAAATTATAAAGGCTGTGGGATTGCTAAATTTGTTGAAAGATGATATTATTTTGGCTTTAATTTTTTTAGCAAAGTAATGCCTCATGTTGAAATTGTATGTAACCAGATCCAAAACAGGGGTGTCGTTTCTTTGCAAATTAATGATAATATAAATGAGTTCAAGAAGAATGTTCAAAAGATACGAGACAATCCACCCTGTTACGAAAATTTGTATTCAGAAAACAACTGTGAAGGTAAAAGAAGGAAGATTGAGAACTGTAGAAAGGCGGCTCTTGAAGTGTGTGATGTAATTATCACATGGGTAAATGACCGTCTTAATTTTACGGGACATTTGAGCTTGTGTTGTGTCTTTGACTGTAAAATAATTCAACAATACCAAGAAAATTTCACCCAACAAAAGGGTGAACAGGTTTTACAGTTCTATCCGTTTGTGGAAGCTAGCAAACTGAAATCTGAGCTGAATGTTCTTTATAAAAGGAGTGACTTGGGCTGTACCGAAGAAATTTACTTCTTTTGGAAGTGTTAGTAAATAATAACTTATTGTATGCGTTCTCAGGATCAGTTTAACTATTGAACGTAATCTGTTCAATTCCAATGACAATTGTAGAAATCGAAAATGCTTTCTCCACTTTGGAAAGAGTAAAGACATTTCTAAGAAATACCGTGTCGGAAGAGCGATTGAATGTCTTTTGTATGTTATTCATAGAAAGAGTTTTGTTACGAGACTCTGTTAATATTAAAGGATTAGTAATAGATAAATTTGCAGAATCTGAAAATTGATAAATTTAATATTTAGATCCAATGTTTAGACAGCCTTCCTCGGAGATAATTCGATTGTAAATATTACTTATGTGACTTAAACAATCCAAATATAATAATTTTTCAAATTCCTAACTTTATTTGATCCTGCGACTCTGTATGTCTCCCTGTTCTCTATTCCCAGAGCCGCCACTGTCAATAACACAGATATCTAGGATAACACTTCAGATTTCAGGCAGCTTATTCAAAATTCAGATTAGAAAAAAAGCAGCAACGGCGATTACAGCCATGTACTCAATAAAAATATCCACAATCACTAGAATCAGCAATCAAAATATTTCATGCAGTTATCAGCCCAATCATAACATACGGAATACAACTGAAATGGCGAAAACTGTTAATAGCTTATCTAAGGTCTATAGAGAGGGCTAAGTCAAGATACCTAAAGAGATTCCTGTGTCTTCCAAAGACACAAAATAAAGTTTAGAATATAACTGATCATAAAACCATTCTACATTGAGGACTTAAGATACCAATTACTACTGCCATCCAAATCTAAGTACACAAGTGCTAGAGGAAAAAATGAAGAGAAGAGAAATATTGTCAGAATTTTACTAAATAGATGCCATGATGGAAAGAAAATGGACAGAAACAAACCAGAAATTAAGACATGTGATCACAAGACTGGCGACTCATGGGTTTAATTACAATATCTGCACAAACTCACATCACCACGAAGTGAAAGAAGACTGCGTGTGCTCCCTGTGTGGCTAACAGTGTAAACGATATCATGTTCAAAGATGCAAGAAACGAACTAAAACAGTGACAGAATATAGCAAAGAAGTTTAATTACAATTATTATGCACTTTCCTGCGATCTTCACTATTCATTCATTATAAGTGGGTTATACCAACACCACGTAGATTACTTGTATGTCTGGGTGGTGTTGGTTATACTGTCTTGGCGGGCTTTTGTTACCAACCAAAGAGTGTATGTTAAAAACAAGAAACAAAATATTTTTGCGAGTGAAGATCTGATCGCGATGAAAGCGATAGATCTTTTAGCGGAAAGTATTATCAAAATTGAAGAGGTAATTAGTTTTTGTGCGTTTCATGTGTTTATACATGATTTTTAGAGCTGTATGGAAGTGAAAAATATAATCGTTACTAATTCGAAACGAAAACAATGTTGTGTATTTAAGGTTAAGAGAGTGGCAAAAAGTTTATGAAATTAGTAGTGACCAGTAGTTTGTTTAAAGTGCAACGCATTTGATGGAATTAATCATATGTGCAGTTTAGTTATCCATTTGCAGAGGGATGTATTGAAAGGAACACATTATTAGTATGTACTGGTTGTTGAAATAGCTGTGATATTGAGAACGTTTTTCAGCACTTTTGCCCTTTCTTTGCACAACGCAAGAACAATACTCTGGTTGCTATAATTTATATCTAAAGTTATTTTCTATTTTGTATTTGTGTCTTTGGGGAAAACAGTAGAAAATTCATTTATGAGGTGACAGCAAAAGGGCTTTAATGAAGTTTTTACCTTTATGTTTCAATAAAAGAGGCAGCATATTTTTCTTGCAAAAATTGGCAATAAAACAATACTTTAGCATGTACATACAATTTTTAATAAAATGAATTATGAAGTGTGTCTTGTTATTAGCACTGAGATCCTTTTTAACATTTATTGCTATTTCCCAGTTGGAGAACTTTCTTTTCCATTTTGTAATGATTTCAATGGTTCAAGAACAGAATTGAAGAAATTTTATTTTAGATTTTACCCATAAACAACAGTGAATTAATATCAATTTAGTGTGTGAACTAGGAGTCAAGAAGGTTTAAAAATAATTTAATGTATTAAAGTATAAAAAAATCTAGGATAGTCCCAGTAAAAATGTTTGATATTTCAGTGCAAATGTATGAATATGAAAACGTTTAATAATTCAGTAAAACTTGCACAAACCAGAATCTCAAGGGGTCAGTATTTTTTTTCACCTCACAAGCTTCTGCTTTATACAATTTAGTACTATAGAATATATGTTTGCCTGAACTGAAGTTTATGTTCACATTGGTCTGCATTTACATTGCACATATTGTGTGTGGGGCACGTTTTCCAATAATTTTTCAGTGTGCAATGTATGGAAGCTATTTTTTTCAAAAGAATGAAAGTAACTTAACTTTCTTTGTAATGAATTTGAAAATGACTGAGTAAATTAAAGGAGGACCCAAACATTAGATGTCAGTATGTGATAGAATGTTGTTACAAATTGAAATTGAAAAATCTTTTGTATTTTGTATATTATCCATATATTTTATAAGAATGAAATGTAAGTATAGAAAAGCCAGTTTGCTAGGTCTTGTCACTCTGAAATGAAAGAGTTTTTTGGGCCTCCTGAGAAATCTTGAAATATGGACATGTGGGGTTTCTCAAATAGATGGTAAACTTGTGAGTAACGCCTTTTAATTTCCAGATCAAAGAAGAGCCAGTGGACAACAAAGAAAACTATTGCTGGAATTCCATTGTGAGTTAGTTTTAAAGTAATGTTATTGATTCAAAATAATGGTAATTGGTCTCTTTAAAGATATTCACCAAAAACAGTCAGGCAGTTCATTCTATAACAAATTCATTACATTGTTTTGAGTTGTAGAACTAGCAGAAAAAAGAATGATTATGGGTGAAAGACTTTATATATGGTTTGCATGCAAGGTAGAAAGTTGTAGAGCACCTCTTTGGGTTTATGCCTGTTCTTGAATTGCAGTTATTAAATCATTATGCTTATGAGCATGGAAGTTTTATATATTTATGGACTTCTCCATTTTTATTTTAAAATCAATAAATCAGAATTATGTTTGGTATTTATGATTTCCACACCCTAAAATATTCACACAAGAGAATCCAAATGATAGAAATTGTACAATAAAACTTTCGCAAGAGCATTACTAGGATTCATTTGTGTAACATGAACAAAGATGGTCTTTGTTTCTCCTCTCAGTTCTTTGGTCGTAACCTCCTAAAGTTTTGAATGTCTCTGAGTAGACAAAATTTCCAACTCCCTCATGGGTTTTATCATCTTTCTTTCTTTTATTTGTTTGTGAATAAACCAATTCATTTGTGCAGGAAGGAACAAAGTGTTGTTCTACTTCATCTTCATTTTATACTTGAATTCAGCATGATTAGTTCGTTATATATACACTTATAACAAAGATAATAACACAAGAGTACAATAAAAGCTGTTATTATCCATGTTTTAGTTAAAGAATAGCAAGTCGTCCAAACTCAGAACTAGTCATCTGTCTATCTATTCTATTACTGAGAATATTCCATGTTATTTCTTATATCTTTTTTCCTGCACATGTCTTTCGGTTTGATGTAGAACTGGGTGAGGTGGTAAAGAAAATTATTCTATTTTCACTCTCGGCTGTCAGATTTTGTGTACTAATATAACTTGCAGACCCCTAATTGTAATCGAGCTCCTGTTGATTTTCTTTTGCTCATGAGTAATATAGACTGGTTCTTAATAGCTCTATTTAAAGAACTTCAGGGTGGAAGTAATTATTCCTTTTTGTTGTCATTTGTTTTGTTTTTGAATGAGTTATATTTTTTATTGAAGTAAACATTGGTTGATTAATTTAGTCTTTTTATAAATAACTTTTTTATTTGAAAAACATTTTTTAGGGGTTGGATTACTTTAATGTATTATATACTGGCTTCTCTAACAGTTTGGGAAAAATTATTGCTCAAAATTAATAGAGATTTTTTGTTTCTTTTTAAATCATACAAATTTTGAAGAACATATTTTTTGTCTCTCACGTTCAATTTTAGTTACATAATTTTTTAAGTATTATTTATGAACGTAATATTAAAAATAGAAATAAGCAAAAAATAAAGAAAAAAAGGGGGGAACTGAAAAAGGTGTGGGAACAATATATTTTTTGATTGAATAAATCAGAAGTAAGTTTTTAAAATTCATACTTTATCATCAATAATATTTTTTTCTTAGGTTATCCTCAACCCCATAATGAGATATGTAATGAATGTGAAACAACATGGATGTGAGGTAAAAATAAAAATGATAACTTGCTTACTAGAAGAGTGCTGATACAGAAAATGCATTTTCAGGATGATATATGACCCAGGAGAAGTAAGAAAGGCAGGGACTGGTTGAGTAGTCATTGAAGGTTTTACTAAAATTTTATTGTTTCTATGCGGGAAAAAAAATGTCGATGTTACAAAATAAACTGAAGGAATGTTTCATTTGGCTTCAGTAGAAGTAACGGAAAGCTATAAGTTAGAGAAAAATTAGGATGGAATGTGCATTATAAAAATATTTCTCTGCCAATATTAATGCACAATGCACAATATTATTATTAATTAATAATAATATAAATAATTAATAGTAATAGTAGTAATAATAATAATATTTTATTGAGTCACATACACAATTACAATCATGTATAACGAGTCAATATGATGTCTTGGGTGGAGAGAGTGAAGTTACTTTACTGTCTAGATGCAAAACAAGGGTCCTTCTGACCATTTGCTCAATGCACCAGTGAAAGTGAGCAAAAAACCTGATCAAGATGGGGTCATTGGCCTAGAAATTATACTACAATACGTGTTACAGATAGATTAATATATTTTAAGTAAATAATTTTTTTTATTAGCAAAATAATTTAACATTTCAAAATTTGTTCTATGTCATGTTTAAAGAAAAAGAAAAATTCACTTGTTATTCTCATTTTACAGCTATTAATAATAATAATAATAATAATAATAATAATAATAATAATAATAATTTATTTTCCAAAAGAATTACATTGACAGTGTACAAAAACCATCACCATAAAAACAATAAGAAAGAATACCAATTTTGTTCGACTACTTTACATACATCCTGTTTAACCTTACAGTAAAAATTCTGGTCTTTTCAGATTTAAATTTAAATTTATTTTATCTTATTCAGTACACTTCAAATTCTCTCTAAATGCTTTTTGTACTTGTCAGAGAGGGGTGTGTTACATTGTACATTTGTTTGTTTGTTGTTTTTTCGGATTATCATTGTTGATTACAGCTCATTCATCATCTGTACTGTTTGTCAGTTACTGTATAACGCATGAATTGTTTCTGCTGAAATATAGATTTTTTTCTAAGGAAACTTAACAGGCAAAAAGAAATAAAAATCATAAAATTATCTAAAATAAATAAAAAGAGATGTCAGTTAGCAACTGGCTAAAATGAAAATTAAGTTTTACTTAATTAACATTTTAAAAATTTGTAGTGACAAATCAGCAAGCAAAATGAAATAAAATTATTATCTAATCTAAATTAAATCCTAATTAACAAATCAAGAAACAAATAGAACTCATAAGCCCAATGGTAACTAACATTAACACGAGTTAAATTGTCAAATTATAAATAATTAGCAATTAAACAATAGTACACAAAAACAAAAATTAGTCTATTCAGTGAACAATTCACAACACTTATTGAGAGTTACAGGAACATTATACATTATTTATTAATTATTGTCTTGTGATGACAGCAGTTTACAGTATGAAGTAGCTGTAAATAATTAACAACATAAAAACTTGTAAATGACAAAACTCAACAGGCAAAAAGAAATCACAATTATCCAATTATTATCTAAACTACCAAATGGATTGTAAAACAAAAATGAAATAGAATAACCAAATTAAAACCAAAAAACTGAATGAGAGTAACAGGAACATTATACATTTTTACAAATTAGAATTTTGTGATGACATTAGTTTATAGTATCATTTAAGATTTAGTTGTACATAATTAACAAAATAAAATCTTGTATGACAGTATAGCAGTTAATAACTGGCAAAAATGAGAGATACGTTATACTTAATTCACTTATTAAGAACTTGTAATGACAAATCAAAAATCTAAAAGAATTCCATTTTTTTTAAATTAACAAATAAATTATAAATAAAACAAAATGGCAATAGGCAACAAGCTAAAGATATAACTCCTGAGCTTTCTATTTTCATGTCATGCCTAGTATCTTGTGTTCCTTTTTTTGCATTGAATTGAGGAGTTTTAGAATGGCTGTGTTAAGCATCCTGTCTCCAAATTTATAAAAAGTCTCTGGAAGTATGAAATTGTGTTTTTTTCTAGTTTCATAGCTATTTTCACACTCAAATTCCATACCTGATCAGAGAGTCTATTAATGAGAAGACCAATTTGAAAATTTTATAAGATACAAAATCTTCAATTCTCATTAGTTTCCAAACAAATGTTCTTAATTTCTTGCTTAATTCCGAGATCTGGTCCCTCTAGCTCAGATTTTGATCAAAAGTTACACCTAAATACTTCAATATGTTTACAGAATTAATTATATTATTACATTGACAGTTAAGTCTTTGTGTATGCAATCAGCTTTGTGAAAGAATATTTAAACTTGTGCTCATGCAATTTTTGGAGCTGTGATATGAAGTATTCTAGTCTTTTTCTCATTTATTATTAGACCTTTATCATGGCACCATTTTTGGCATGTTCCAAATTTCTCCTGTAACTCCATTTCTGCCTTCTTTTGGTCTTTGTTAATAGATAATGGCGTCTTGTCATCCACATTAATATATTAGGAACTATCTTCTAGATAATTTTTAAAGTTGTTCACAAATATTAGATAAATTATAGTCTAGGAAACTTCCTTTTGGAATATCCCTTTTCACAGTTTTTATTTCACTATAAGTGTTATCTATTTTGATAATAAATGATTGTCCTTCTAGATAGTTTAATGATAATAATAATAATAATTATTATTATTATTATTATTATTATACATGATATAAATTATGGTCAGAATTACATATAATTTAACAATATTAGTACATTACTTGAAATGGCAAGGAGTAGGAGGCATAATTTGGCCAGATTTTTTCTTTTTTTCTACTCCTGGTTGTACTGCCAAACCTGAAATCAGATTGCGCATGTTAGTTACTGATGTATTCCTGAACACTAAAAAAGATTTTGCTCAAGGAAGTGTTTAAGTTTATTTTTGAAGTTACGTAATCCTGTTACATTTCTCAAATGTATTGGTAATTTGATGAAGAAATTTATTCCTGTAGAGAACGTTCCCTTTTGGTGTGGTGTGCTTGTACACATGGTTGATGAAGGTTAAATTTGTTAGGTGTGTCGTTGTTTATTAGATTTTTCTTTACGAACATTCTTTGTAAATTAATATATAAAGCAGTGCATGTATGTTAAGTTTTTTGAATTGAGGTCTACAGGACTCTGTTCTTTTTGTAGTATTTGTTATTGTCCAGGTGATTCGCTCTTGTATTTCTGTATTTTTGTATTGTGTTTGTGTAAGCAATTCCTTGGATTCCATAAGATTCTAATTTTGACATCAGCGTTCTATGATTTATAGGGTCAAAGGCTTTTGAGAGGTCAAGGGAGAGACCAACAGAAATTTCTTTTTGCTCTAATACCATGAGGATTTCATTTATAAAGGGGAATATGGCAGTTTCAGTTGATTGGGTTTTTCTAAATTCATGTCGTGAATGCGATAATGTTACAGTGTTCCAGGTAGCTTTGTAACCTTTCATGGAAGAGTTTCTATAATATTTTTGAAAATCCTGACAGTGAAATTGGTCTATAATTTATTACATCTTGTTTGTTACCTTTTTTGTGGATATGTTTAATTATTTCAGTTTTTAATATGTTGAGGAAGGAGCCATGAGTTAGTGATTGGTTGTATATTATGTTAATGGTTTGATGATATATGGAGCAACCTGTTTCATTAAGAAGTGTGGAATGTTGTCTATCCCAGCAGATTGTTTATTTTGCATTTGTTTTTCCTTTTCCTTTTCTGTTGTTTCTGTGATGGATGTACTAGAAATAGAGTTTTCAAAGAAAGGTGGTTGGTGTTGAGATGTAGTGTTTGGATTATTTGTTTGCAGCAGTGTTCCACATAGTTTTTTGTTTTATTTTTGGATTTTGTATGTATTCTTAGATAGATTTATTATTTTTGCAGATAGGTATAGAACCTGGTGGCAGAACACTACAATTTACATATTACAACTAAGAATACTAATACACTGTAATTTTAAAGCATTTTAAGGCAATAATAACAATAAACAGCGTTACCTATAAACGTTATGACTGTCCTGTATGGAATTTTTAAGTAATAAATACACTGCTCTTCACTCCACTTCACTACACTACACTTCACTTCACTTCACTTCATTACACTTCACCACATGTCACAACACTCCAATTCAAGTACTACTTTAAATATAATTGTATATTTAACATACCAATGCATTTAATAGTGATTATCACAATACTAATTATAATAAAAAATAACAATTATAATAAAATTATAACTAAAATAATATTTTAATAAGCCTAATTTATACAAACGTCCTTAGTTAATCTACTTTTAAAACTTTGTACACTAGAGGAAAGGGATCCATGGCTGTCGCAGGTAACTTATTCCAGTCCGCTATTGTTCTATTTGTGAATGAACATTTTTCAACATCTATTCTCTGTGGCTTGAATTGAATTTTGTGCTTGTGATCCAATGTACTAAAGTAAGTGGTTCTTTGTTTGGTCTTTATTATAACTTTTTAAAATATGGCTGAATATCTCTTATAGTAGTTGTTTATTTGATGATTGCAAGAGTGTTGTTATATGAGTGTATATAGCTCTTTTTCTTTCATAAGAAATTTGAATACCTTTTCTTATCCATGCTGTGCTGTTTTGTGTGTTGTTTGTCTTGTAATACTGTAGTAGATGCGAGATGTTGAAATAGTGTTTGACTGCATTAAAGAAAGTGTTAAACTTGAGGTTGATATCAGGTATTTCAAATAACCCGCTCGATGATTCATTGCTTAACAGTGAGATGTTTGTTCAAGTTTTTTGCATCTTACTTCCTAGTCTCCTTTTTCAAGGTCAGCTTTTAAAGAGGTGGAATTTATTATGAGTGAGTATTATGGTCACTGAGCCCTGTGTCAATAGTGGTGATGTATGCGTGTGTTGTTTTGTCTTAGGGGATTTCGTCTATTGCTCTTTTGGTGTACTTGGATTGCCTGGTTGGTGTGTCAGTTACGGCATCTAGATTATAGGATCGTACTGAGTTTATTAGTTTGATGCTGTCCTTTTCTCAAGTGATATTAGCTGTTGGTAGAAAGTTAATATTTATATCACCACAGATTATGATAGAGCAATGTGCTCACTTTGATAATTTATCCATAATTATTTCTAAGCTTTTTAACAATATATTATGCTTAAAAGTATACAAGTGCTGTTGCAGCTCCCCTGTTTTGTTGCTGTATGATTTATTTATGTTTTTCTCTGCAGGAGGAGTTGGAGCCTCCACTTGCTGTGTTTGTTCAGCCAGTGGAGGACCAAGGAGGAGCTTGTATTGAAAAAACAAAGGTAATGCTTTCATGTAAGCCTACTTTGACAGTATGATTTTTTAATAAAAAGAAGCATTGAGCGGTGGCATGTTAAACTCCACCCTAAATGTCTTTATTGTTCATAGTAAGGTTTTCTTAGTTATGTGTTTTAATGATTCTTGACATAATGAGAAATGCTGGATGCATGCCATCATGATGCGAGTGTATATTAGTACTGAAGACAGAAATAAGGCTCATGTTAGGAGTACATAGTTAATTTGCAAATTACCTGGACATTGTCAGTAAAGATGTAGAAGATCAGAAATGAATCAATTTGGATTTTATCTGGCTAAAGTAAGTATTTGCCAAAGTTCTGTCTAAAGGAAAATGATTGTCTGGCTTTGAAGTAGCTTATAAGTTGAGACATTCACTTGTTTGTACGTGTATTTATCAAATGCAAACATTTTTGGGTGGTGCCTAAAATTAGAGTATTTATCAAATGGTGATAATTTGTACTTCCCAATACAAAAATTTCTCTACAAGGGGATGGCAACACTATAAAGCTCTGAGGATGTCTATCAGTCCATGAACTACTTGGAGGAATACAAGTTTTGTCTTCCTCTAAAGAGATCATGTGTACACAACTTTATTTTATCAATTTATGTATTATTCCGAATAACCAATTTCTGGCAATATTCAAGTTATTGAATGCCATATGTTTGGTGAATTTATTTTATTTGTTGTGATGTTAGGTGAAGTGTGTTGTTTCATTTGAGGAAAAAGTTGGCCTCTTTGTAAGAGAGACCCTTTTTCTTTTGACGGTCTTATGCGATCGAATTTAATACATTGGTGTGATATTTTCTCATCTACCATTAGAGAAGTGAAACTTGATAATATGCAAAAAAAGAATTTTAGGCGTCAAATGTTTGCAGCTGGGAAGAAGGGGAAATCCGATAAGGTAGCCTACGTGTAAGAGAATAGGAAACTAACTACAAGAGAAAGTCATTGCCATTATGTAATGGAACTAGTTATAAGCACACTCTCCTTTAATCCAGAAAAAAATAAAGAAAAAGTGCCATTTTGAGAAAATATTGAATTGTCCCAATGTTACGGACAAAAACACAGAAATATTCGGTTTGTTTCAAATTAGGGAATTGAGTTGGGTCAGAAATATTAGGGAATACTCGTTTTGGGGGAAATAATTTATGTAGTTCAGATGCTTGTATGCTTTACAGAGAAGAGAGGTTTGATAAAATAACGCGTTTATTAATGGGAACCTAAAAATATGTATTTTCGTTAATACCTCGACATGCATTTTCTGCATTACATAACTGTTTTTACCATAAGACTCGGAAAGTAAAAATTGTGTTAGCTGACACATAATCAGTGAGAAGTAGATATCTGTTTGTTAACCAGGTGAAAGGGGTTTTCCAGAGCATCAGTGAATCAAAACTGTAATGGACTTACCAAATTTAAAGATACCCTTCCTGCCTTTGTCTCAGCGCATTGTGATGTTCTTTTCCGATGTCTTGCTGCAGGATCCTCTTGCGGCGTGTTGTGAAGGTGCTTCTGTTGCAACAATGAAACCAGAAACTGTTCCATGTTCCCCAGGTGAGTGGAAATGCGATTTTAATTAATTTAGTAATCTGAGCTGTACTGGCCATCTATTTTACTGTGCCGAAACGACAGTATCAAGTGACTGATCAGGAAGTCGTGGAGTTCATAAATGATATTTCATGCCAGTGAGTCGGTCATTTGTAAAATCATGAGTCCATAATTTAAAAAAATTGTTATACGGTGTGGGATATACAGTAAATCTTAACGATCAAATAACAAAGAGTCGAGACGTTTTGTGTTATAGTCTATTGTGTGGGAAGTGTACACCGAGTCCCGCTTTTAAACCAATATTCCACCTAGAGTGGCTGAAGCGCATTGCATTCGTACCCTAGAGTAAGCTACGTGCTCCGTTTGGCTCTAGAAGCGTTTCCATTGTTTCAGTGAAGCTGCCAGCCCTGTTACCGTCGAGGATTCGCCGCAGCAGACGACGTTAGCAACGGTCGGCGCGTAACGGCTGGGAGGAGAAGACAACCGAACGCCCAGTTCGACGTTTCTTCGACACCGCGCGCGCTGTTCCGGAAGGGCCTGGCAAAGAGCAACGGACGATTCCGCGAACAGGCGCGTCTTCTGCCGCTCCAACCGGTAACTCACACCAGACTGCAACCGCTGGCGCAAACAACCTGAGTGCCTTCGGACGCCGGACCCCGACCGAACCACAAAGAACCCCCTTCCAAGCCCCCCTCATGATGCCTCACCCGGCAAGGACCATCGGCTCCCCTTTAATTACCGCCCCATTAGCCTTCTCCCTATCCTCAGTAAATTTTTTGAAAAAATCCTTCTCTCCATTACACCCATCCTAGAACGAATCATTAGCATTTCCCAATTTGGCTTCCGAGAGGGTCGCTCTGCCGCTCTGCAAACCCTCAACCTATTCTTAGCAATAGCCGCCCCCCTCGAAGACCGAAAATAAATCCCTACCGCCCTAACAGACCTAACCCTAGCCTACGACTCCGTCTTTCACCATATCTACTGATGAAAATTTGCCCATTTCTTCCAAACCACATTCTTTCACCGCTCGAGAGTTACTTTCACAAACGTTCCTTCCACATCCGTCACCTTTCCACAACCTCACCCAATTACCCTATCCCAGCCGGCGTCCCACAAGGAGCCGTGCCTTCACCCATCCTTTTCTCCATTTACGTCAATGACATCCCACCCACTCCTGGAGTACAAATCTTCCTCTATGCCGATGACTGCCCTCCTTATATGTTTCCGCTCCTTAACCCGATCTCTCTACAAACTGCAACAGGCAATACTCATTCAAGCTCTGGGTTCCCCAAACAACATAACCCATCCAAATCCCAAGCAATTCTCTTCTTCAATAAAAGACAACCTTCCAATCCTTCTATCACCTAACCTTCTCCCAACGTCTCTGGTCCAACCCCATTCTCGAAATAACTATCAAAACTAATCGAATCACAGCAGCACTAAATCCTATCCTTACACAATTACCCTCTTAGCCAGAAAGAAAATCCAAACCTACGACTGCTACATCCGTCCTATGCTATCCCACGCCCACCCCACTGCGCCCTGGTGCGCCACCTCCCAAAGAAATCGAATAAAAATAATCCAAGCGAAAACCACATACTCCGCACAATATTCCGCCCACCAATACACACATCTTTCAAATCCCTAAGATCCAATCATAAAATTACCCAAATCCTTGCTTACCTATATCATTCATCAAAATCCTGCATCAGAGAAGTCATCAATAACCCTCTCTTCCGAAAACTAATCCTACCTCATCCGAAATCCTCCACGATCTATCCGAAAACAACACCCATTCGACAACTTGCAACCCCCTCCCCGTCACCAGAGCCAGAAGAAACACGGCCAGACGTGACCGCGCTCAAGATAGAACTCATCGATTCTCACCCCATTCCTACCGCCCCCAACCCAACCCAACCCTCCTTTCCTCTTTTCCCCCCGCCACTGAGGCACCCGTAAACAAAGCCTCCTCCCTCAACAAAATAACCTTTATCTCAACACACACTCCGATCCCCGTCCCTGTACGGGGGAGAGGAGTCGAATCACCATATTCTAAAAGCAGCTCGAAGAGGCTTTGGCGTTTGCTCCACCCTTGAAGCAAGTTGAGGCCGTGTGTTTTGCAGTCAAAGCAGCGCCCTCTGGGAAAAAGTATTATAGCATTACGTTTGGCTGTAGTTACACTGCCCGTCGTAGGTTTTGACTTCAGAAAACATGGCTGCCATTAGTTCGGCGAGCCCCCACTGAGAGCGCTGAAACTATAGGAACAGCCACTCTATGTAGTATATTGTGGCTCGTTCCGAGCGGCGCGTGTTTTCATTCGCCGTAGGCTCTGCCGTGAAGTAATGATGAGTACCTCCTCAGAATTGTTGTTTACCTTTATACTCGCCGAGTCGAGCACGAGTCGGCCCGGCCTCGGAGGTCGTTATTTTTAACTTGTTTCGTATTTCATTTGACACTTTGCAACTTGATATGGTGACTGTTGTGGTATAATGTTCATTGCACATAACCAACATGGTTTCTTTTTATGGAATTCACGGTATTTTGTTAATCGTGAATATCTCATCATGATTGATGTTATTTTATGTGTAATATTTGAAATTGTTGCCTCCACACCATTGTCGCACAGGGTGAATCAGTTGTTTTCCCCTGTTGCTCTCGTTGCACATTTGTAAATAGTTGTTGAATTGTGGCAGCAGTTTCTGTGAAGCAGGCTCCTTTGATTCGCGTGTTCGCCGTCCTCATTCCGAACAACAGGCGAGCCCCTGTGCATTCGCATCGTAGAGCGAGCTCCGTTCATACGCACGCATACGAGAGAAGCGACCGACGAAAAGCGACGGAGCAGTCGACGAGGTGACGCCTTCGTTCTAACGCTATCCACGCTGCTGGAGAAGCGAGAAGAGGCCCGTTGGCAACACCACCGCCCGCTACTCTCGACTTATCAACTATCCCGAGAAGCCTCTTCAGGAAAGCACTCCAGGAGAGCAACAGGAGGTTCCTCGAAGCGGCGCGGCTTCGGCCGCTGCCATCAATTATGGAGGTTGATTTAATAGAGGTAAACCCGCCAACGGAAGACGCCCTGACTACATCCCGAGCAGACCTTGCGAGACGTGGTCATGACTTCCCCCGACTCCTCCCCAGACATCCAACAAACCCCCCCTGCTGGATGACGGATTCCAACTACTCAAAAATGGCGCCAGACCAAAATCCCCGACAATCCTCAACCCCACGGAAACAAGGAACAGATACCAACCTCCAACTACCCCTGACCAACCTTCAACAAACTCAAACACCCCAGACAACCATAATGAACAAACCCTTCCCCCGCAAACTACCCAAAGACAACAAAATCAAGGCAAGGGAAGGATCGGACCATTTCGCATCGACCTGACTTCCATTCTCGACCCGACCGAACTGACAAAAGACCTTATGAAAACCTGCAACAACCACATGACCACAAAATGTACGAAGACTGAACTTCTAATCCAACCAATGACAGTGACTGCCCACACCAAAATACGAGACAGACTCGACCAGATCTCCCACAACTAAAAGGACTATTCTTCGTGACAATATCCTACCACTTTAACAGAGCCACAGAGGAGGCTAGAGACAAATTTGTTATCAAAGGACTCCCCCAAGATATAGTATAGACCAAATTAAACACAATTTACAAAGACAGGACATTACCACATCACTGAGATGCAAAGACGCGATAATGACGGGAGATTGACCCCTCTCGGCATCTACACTGTCGAGACAAACAAAAAAGACATGTCAGACATCAAAGGTAAATTAATTTACATTGACTACTACAGAATCAGACTCGAAAATTACAAGACAACGGACAGAATTCCGCAGTGTAAGAACTGCCAGAGACTGGAAAACTTACTTTACAATACTGTTCTTGGCATCCTTCCTTATTGCAAGAAAAGTTTGTGCAGTTTTTGACTGTTTTAATTATGAAGTTCAAAGGAACTCGCGTTCGTTATTCACGTAAGAATGCTTTATCGAATGTAGATGAAAAGCATAAATTAAGAAACTCGCATATTCTGACTAAGTGTGTGTGAGTGACACTTTTCTAACCAAATGAATTAGCTATTCGTTTATTTTCTAAGATTAAGTATGTTTTCGATAGACGTTTTAATTGTTTATGTCACAGTAAACTTGTCAAAAAACAATTAATGCAAATCATTAACATTCGATTGGAAAATATTGTATGTGAGGAGTGTACTAATTTGTATGTAAGTCGAGATATCAATGTATTGATACAGTGCTTTTTACAGAAAGCAAATGAAAAAAATACTAAATGTATCACTGGAACTGCTAAAGCAGGATAAATCCTTCATTTGTAACTATTTAATTCATGGAATGTATAAAACATCTTTGTTCATTATTATTTTCCGTAATTTGAGCCATTCAATATAATTAAGTCAGGAAAAGTATGTAAAAATTGAGACTTATTTCGTTTGGTCAACTAAAAAAAAGTATTTATTCCGTAACAATCATAATTTTTTTTTGGCACTGAAGTACCAGGTACCAGTATACTAGAAGCGCTAGTGGGAACTTGTTTCCATCGGTTGCGTGGAAGAACAGAGAAGTGTCCTGTATTGTCTCTATAGTATTTGCAGTGGGTCGTCGGCCTGATGCGAAGGTGTTCGCCAACTTCAACTTAATGTAGAGGCTTTGGTAACCTTGCCTGAAGGGAAATCCTGAATGCACCCGTTGTGTGGTCTAATGGTAACATATGAGCTTATGTCATACGAGTTGGTTACGTGCAATGAAGTGCACAAGCAAATGTGTTCAAACAGTATAAATTGATGTAAAGTTCATTAATTATGAGTCATTTGTTTTTCTTTTTGTAATTGAGGGTGTTTGCTAGCAGCAGCCCCGTCATTTTTTGGTAGAAATGTACTTTGGCATCAATCATTTTACAGGTTCCTAAAGTGGATGTTTACTGTACTTAAGAGCTATGTATATTTCGTAATTCAGTTTCAGCAAGCAATATTATTGTAAAGTGGCTTCGCCTGAAGATAGAAATGTTTATGTAAAATTGCAATGTGAAAGGGTTTACGCTGCCTTTTGGATTCAATAAATGTAAAATTTTCATTGAAGTTTTGTGGATTCATGTTGTTGGACTCTTTGAATGTTCTCTGTCTTAAGAGTCAAGGTAATTTTCATCATAACCTGCTCCCTCCCTCTTCCTTGCGAAGTTGCTAGATAGCGCGGAAGGTTTTATGTTAACTCCGCGCGTTCCACGACGTAACACTGGGCATTTTTGGTAGAGTGGTTTTCTCGCCAATTTTTGAGTGGCGCAGTTTGAAACTGCCGTAATTGTGTGCGACTAGCTACCGTAACGTTTTTAGATTCTGTTCATTTGCCTTTGTCCTTTGATTGCCAATTGGGTAACAAAGCGGCGATTTTATTTAGAATCGTTTGTAATCTTCGCTTTGTTATTTGACTTATCGAGTGGCGAATTTTAATTTTAAATAGAATAATTATTTACACGGTCGCCAGCCTGAAAAGGCTGAAATTACAGTATCGCACGTCGGTATCGTAGGACAGGCCAACACAGTCACCTTTAACGCTCGGATCGCTTCCGAAGTATAATGATACCTAATAAATTAGGAAACATATCGGGTCAATGGGTCAGCAGCGAAGGTATAATTTCTACTGTAGAGAATAGTTATCAAACTTTCAATACACAATTTCAGTTTATTGGACACACGGGTACACGGAGTAACAAGAAATACATATGTCAAATATCATTACATCAATAGCAAATTAAATCCCCACTGTCCTGAAAGAAATTAACAATAATAACAATTTCCTACCCAAATCCTGTTGAAGTGAGCAGATCAGGACGGCACTTTGAATTGAATTGGCCTTATTTTACGTGGCGAGACTCGGGCCATCAGGCCCGCTCTTCCGTCTGACCACGCAAATTTCGCTACGCTCCTTTCACCAACTAGGAGAGAAAGGAGGTATTTCTTGGGCGAGAAACAGGCGATTTGAATTTAGCTCAGGAGGCGTCATTTAGGCTTGAGGATCTTTTACATGCAAGTAAATCTACGAACATGGGACAGACAGCCGGCTTTACTTCCCCTCCGAAGGAAGGCGTACGAAGGATTTTTTCGCCCTTAAAAATCCACGGCTTCGATCGGGTTTGAACCCACCAACTTGGGTACAACAGTCCAGTACGCTAACCGTTACACCATCGCCGCCGCTTTACAAAATTCAACAATTATACAGAATTACATTTTGCCAATAAATCGCACAATAAAAAATAAAGAGTTTCAAAATGCTGAAATCTCACTCACTCTCATCATGGGCCACTCACCACCTCGTTAAGAAATTAAAACGCGCCGCAGAGCTTTCTTAAGTCGCAACACCACTTGTGTCGACCCTGAAGAACCGTGGTCAGTGAAAACGGGACCGCGCTACATAAGCCGGTTTGTTAAAGATGCGAATACGCGTGTTGAAACACCTGTTCCGATACAGTGCTTGCCAGCCCGAAGACAGAGCGACTGGCTCCGGCCTCCCGGTCACTGGCAAAGCAACAAATTATACAACGTCTCTGTACCACAATACAATA